TGGTTATACTCAATAGCACCATTATCAACTAGATAGTAATTGACATACAGACCACTTCATCCAACAAGCAACAGAACAAATTCTCAAGCTCAAAATGAACATTCACTAATAGAGACCTACATTCTAGAGCTTAAAAAACACTAAGAAATTTAAAGAAATAGAAATAAGTATAGCTATCAGACTACAATAAAATTAAATTAAAAATCAATAAAGATAGTTGCAAAATCCCTCAAATACTTGGGAGGTCAATAAATATACTTCTGAATAATAAATGGGTCAATAGAATCTCAAAAGAAATTTTAAATATTTTGAGCTAAATGAAAACACAAATGCAAATGTAACAAGATTTGAGATGTAATGAAAGGAGTCCTTAGAGAGAAATTTAAGGCATTGGATGTACATTTAAAAAACAGAAATGCCAGTCATGGTGGTGTAGCAGTAATGCAACACTCTGCAATGAGGAGGCCACATGGGTTTACATGTGTTGTAAGCCAGGCTTGCTGAGGCTGGGGTAGGATTGCAATGTAAAAACCCTGTTGAGGGAGCCTCTTTCTCTCTCTGTCTCCATCTCTCTCTGTCTACTATACTTATGAAAAACAATGACAACAACAAAAGTAAACTTAAAAAAAAGACTTTAAATCAATAATCTAAACTTTAACTTTTAGAAACTAGTAGAAAAGGTGAGTAGGTGGCATGGAGATGAAAGTGCTAGAACCCACATGGCTGACAGCATGGCTTGAGTCCCGAATTCAGTGGCTTGAAAAATCACACTGCCCAAAATCCCAAGAGAAGATTAGAGAAGGAACTACAATGTGGCCACCCTTTCACCAGGGTTAATTTCTCACCCCTCACGTTTCTGTCTGGTGTGCACACATGCACTATAGCAAAAACTAAAAAAAAAATTGGAAAAAGAGCAAATTAAATCCAAAGATAAAGGAAACAAAAATCAGAGCAGTAAGTAATACAATTAAAAATAGGAATCAATAGAGAAAATCAGTGAAACCAAAAACTGGTTCTTTGAAAGCATCGATATAATCAGTAAACTTTTAGACAGGCTAACTAGGAAAAAGAGAAGACACACGTATTAGTATCATAAATTAAAATGAGACCACCACTATTATCCTACTTAAAACAACATTAAGAAATACTGTGAGGGGAACCAGCAGTTAGCGTAATGGCTATGTCGCTGGACTCCCACGTAGTCGACCGTGGTTCGTGTCCCGGACCCGGTGGCTTAAAACTCACGCCGGGCGCGTGTGCGTGCGTGCCCAAGATCCTGAGAGGAGAATGGAGGAGAAGGGATTGCGGCGTGACCATCCCCCCTGGGGGGTGATTTCTCGCTTTCTGTCTCTATGTCTCTCTCTGTCTGTCTGGCGAGCGCACGCGCCCTACAGTGAAAATCTCTCAAAAAAAAAAAAGAAATACTGTGAGCAACTCTATGCCAAAAAATTAATAACACAGATAAAATGGATCAATTCTTACCTACAATCTGCCAGAAGTCACACAAGGAAAAATATACAATCTGAGTAGGCCTAGTTCTATTAAAGAACTTGAATCAATAATTAATAACTTTTCCAAACAGAAAGTACCAAGCCCAGATGGGTTCACTAGTGAATTCTACAAACTACTTACAGAAAAAGTGATACTAATTCTCCATAATCTCTTCCAGAAAATGGGCTCAGAGGGAATACTTTCTTTTTTAAAAAATTATTTTATTTAACTTTATTTATTTGTTTACTTATTTGTTTCAATTTGACCAGAGAGGGAGAGAGAGAGAGAGAGGAAGCTGCCAGGTCCAGGACTCGAACCATAGTCAGCCACATGGGAGTCCAGCATCCTTAACCACCAAGCCACCTGCCAGCCCTGAGGGAATACTTCCTAACTAATTCTGTGAAGCCAGTATTACCAACAGCTAGGCAGACATTATAAGAATGGAAAACAATGAACTAATATTACTCACAAACATGAATGATAAAGCCTTAAAAAAGATTGAACAAATTGAATCCCTATATAAAAAGTTAAACAACATGACTGAGATTCCCAACTTGATCTACAGATTCAATTTCAAAGAATCCACAAAAAAACTACCAAAACAGACAAATTCATCAATGTTGCAGGTTACAAGATAAATACAAAACCAACTGTGTTTCTATATGCCAGCAATGAATAATCCAAAAAGAAAATTAAGAAAGCAATTCCATTTACAATAGAATCTAAAGCTTGGAATAAAATACCTAGAAATAAATCTAAGAAAGGAGGCAAAATGATACACTGAAAACTATGTGACATGGCTGAGAGAAATGAAAGATCTAAATAAATAAAAAAGCATCCAATGTTCATGGATTAAGAGACTTACTATGTTAAGATGCCAATGTTACTGAAAGCAGTCTATTACAAATTTAACATAATCCCTATCAAAAAAAAAAGATTTTTTTTTTCCCAGAATGGAAAAGTTGATTCTTACATTAGTATGGAACAGCAAGGGGCCCTGATAGTCAAAATAGTATTGAATAAGAAAAAATTTGGAGGACTCACTATTTTCAATTTCAAAACTACTGTACAAAAGTAGAGTCACCAAAACATTGCAATAGGAGGGGCCAGCAGATGGCATAGTGGTTACATCACTGGACTCCCACATGGCTGACCGTGGCTTGAGTCCCCGATCCGGCAGCTTGAACTTACACTGGGTGCATGTACATACATGCCCAAGATCTCAGGAGGAGAATGAAGAGAATGGGAGAGAAGGAAATGCAGCATGGCCATCCCCCCGTAGAGGGTGATTTCTCGCTTTCCCTCTTGCTGTCTCTGCTCTCTCTCTCTGGCAAGCACACATACCCTAAGGCAAAAACCTCTAAAAACAAAACCAAAACAGTGTAATATAGCCTAAGGATAATCATATAAATCAAGAGAACAGACTTGAGAGTCCAGAAATAAACCTTACATCTATGGCCCATTTATTTTTGACAAGGGTGCCAAAACCCTTCAGAGAGAAAAGAGTCTCTTCAAAAAATGATATTAGGATGAATGGATTTCCACATACAAAAAGTAAAGTTAGATCCCTACTTCACAATCTATAAAAAGCTAACTCTAAATTGATCAAAGACCTAAATATGAACCAAAACCATAAACCTCTCAGAAAAATAAAAAAAAAGAAATAGTAGTAAATCTTCATGGCCTTGGAATTGGCAATGTATTTTTAAGTATGGCACTAAAAGCACAAGCAACAAAAAGAAAAGATAGATAAATTGGACTTCAAAATTAAAACCTCATACATAAAAGGATAGTATTAAGAAAGTAGGACAACTGACAGAATACAAAAAAAAAATTGCAAACCATATAGTTATTAAGGATTTAATATCTGGAATACATGAATTCTACACTGTAAAACAAAATGGCAACCAAACTAATTTTTAAAATGGTCAAAGGTCAGGAATAGTATTTCTCCAAAGGAAGTACAGAAATGGTCAATAAGTATATGAAAAGATGCTCAACCTCATTAGTCCTTAGGGACATGCAAATAAAACCATAATAAGGTACAATTTTTTTATCTGTAATATAACTATTATTAAAACAAAACAGAAAATAAAAAATGTTGACAAGACTGTGGATCCATAGTAATATGAATATTATTTTTTTAACAATTTCTTTTTTCTTGGTTTAGGAAATACAAAAATAAACACACAAAATGAAACCTAATAAAATAATTCCTAAAGCTAGTCTTCAAACTAGTCTTGTCTATAAATAAATTTCATCTGTCCCACACTGTGTAAGAACAGTATGGTATATTTTTATAAATGTCCTTGTCTATTTATTTATTTGTTTTTTCCCTATTTCTTTAACTGCTAAATTTTCTGTGTGTGTATATGTTTTAATTTAATTTTACTAATTTCTTCTGAGGGATAAGGAGAGAGACAGAGAGAGAAAGAAATGAGCATCCTCAACAAGGTCTTCATGCCACAACCCACCCCAGTCTCAGCTAGATTGGATCATGGGCACGCATGTGCATGCCTAATGTGCATAGAGAGGTCCTGGGACACAAACCCTAGACCTTTCCCATGTGGGTCTAGTTGCAGTACCACCTGGAAAAAATGTTCATTTTTAATAAAATAACACTAATTGTAAATGGTAGGCTTTTAAGATATTTTATCACTTGGAAAAATAAAAATTTGACAACACTGTCTTCTTCTCTGTCTTCCCCCTCCACTTCTCACGCTCTCTTTCTGCTAAATTAAACATAGTACACTTTATTGGTATATAAAATTGAAAAATCTGGAAAGTTATTCCAGAAGGATTTAACAAGCATGTACTTGAGCTAAAATCTTACTAAAGCATAGGCAGAGGCAATTATATTGGCTGTAATATTAGACACACAGTCCTCTCCAGCTCTGTCAATATTGGCTATGTGTCATCAGATAAAGTTCTTAGCTTTTATGACCCTTTATTTCTTCATCTATAAAAGGAAAATAATAATGGTACCTATTTCATAGGAGTATGAAATATGACAATGTGTAAAATACATTGACATATAATGGCTACCAGTGTATTTGCTATTATAAAACTAATACAATGTATTAGTTATTACAATGTATTAGTAACAAAACTTATTACAAAACTACTAGTTATTACAAAAAATACAGTGGCTTATTTTGGAAAAGAGAGTGGAATGAAGGTCAGAAGCAGCATACCATCCTGGTGCAAAGAAGCATTTTTATCCACTGGTATTGTTTGAAACTATTGTTACATAATAAAAGTATCACTTAAAGTATCACTATCAGTGGTAATTAAAAGTATCTTGGTCAAGTTTCAATGCTGTTTTTAATTCTCTACAGACCATGTACCCTTTCCTGCCTTTACCTGAGTACGAGCGAAAGATCATCTCCTACATTTACTCATTCATTATTAGTGTTAAGCAGCATAGGGAAGGGACTAAGAGGTAATATTAGAGTTGTCACCATGTATTCTTAAATACGACAATGGTTATTGCAAAAATATCCACTTACCTTTCTTGAACTTATGTACAGGGAGCTTCTTAAGTTGATCTTTACGAAGTCTGTTTCTTCTAGCTCTATGTCTGTCCTGGACAAATTTTGTTATCTAAAAACAGGTAGGAAAAAAAGAGTTAGAAAGTAAACAAGAAAATAGAGATCATTAAAATAACTTTTAAATTTCTGGATAGCTGCTGCAAACCAATGCAAACTTATTTAAATCCTAACTACACTAATACAATTACATGAATTATTTGTAACCCATAAGTTATCCTTTTTTTTTTTATTCATTGACCTTGATTATCTTTAATTTGCTGACAGAGACATTATAAATAACATAAAACTGTTTGCTTACAAAAATACAAAAAAAAATTCAGATTAGGGAAATGCACATTCCTACCTAGAAACACAACTCAGAAATAAAAAGGAATAATCAATATACTCAAAACACGCATTAATCTCAAAATAATTATGCTGAGAGAAAGACACAGAAGACACATTGTGTGTGTGTGTGTGTGTGTGTGTGTGTGAGAGAGAGAGAGAGAGAGAGGGAGAGAGAGAGAGGCATAAATAGCTGGCTATCTTATTTTATTTTTTTAAAATTTTCCAGTGGGCACATATGCTTGCTTCAGGGAAGGAGGAGAGAGAGAGAGAGGAAAAGCGAGAAAGCACACCCCTCATGGGGAATGATCACGCTACAATCCCTTCTCCTCTCTCTGTCCCTTTTGTAAGGATTCCGGGAATGTACATACACAAGCAGGGCATTTTTCAAGCCATCATGTCCAGACCTTGAACCACACAATTGGCTCTGTGGGATCCAGCTGCCTTAACTACCACACCACGGGCTAATCTGAGTACATTTTTTATGATGGCCAATATTCAACAATTTAAACAACAATAATAATGTAGTACTGGATTATAAAACAATTATAAAATAAATAATCATTAGTGTATACTAATATATTAATAAATGACCGAATAAATATATAAATGTAAGAAGAGGAAAATCTTCCTTACAGAAACATTTCAAATAATATATGTAGAAATGCTCTCCTTTGGGAGGTAGAGATTAATGCCTGCCCCTCCCTATGATTAAGGTGACCAATACTTAGTGTCTAGCTTTCAAAGAAATAGCACAAGAAAAGGGAAAAATACTAACTTTACAGAGGACAAGGTTGGCAAGCACTAATTTAACCAAGGCATAAAGGTTTACTCATCAGTGATATGATGGAGATATCTTGTACACTCTGAAATCATCTGATGAGAAGGGCACTTCACTTCTGTGACATTCTTATTTCACTGTGTCATGGTCCTCCTGCCTCAGCTTCCCGGCTGGGACTACACGCACAAGGCACCAGGATAAGCTCCTTTTTACAGTGTCTCACTATGCTGCCCAGGCAAGATTCTAATCCTCCTGCCTTAGCCTCCCCTGAGTCACTGGGATTACAGGTCCATGCCACCACACCTGACCTTTAGGTTGGACCAGGAATCAAAGCTGAGCCTTCTATGTAGTCTCAGTGTGCAGAACACAGCATCTTAGCAGTGCACACCACCAGGGCTAGGCCTGCGATTCTTTTTTTAAAAAAATCTGTAACGCTGTCTTGTAAGAAGAAAAAAAAAAAAACAGACGAAAGGACATTCTACAGATTCTACAGAATACTTGGGCAGTATTCCTCAAAATTGGCAAGATCATGAAAAATAACATCTGCTTCTGTCTTCAAATGTTCTAATATTGCACATCATGTAGCCCTCTAGAAACCTTCATTCCACATCCATAAAAGAATGAGAGTGACAAATGCAAATAATACTTTAGGATTATTGTGAAAATAATTTTGACCTTACAGATCTACTAAGAGTCCTGGGACCATACTGTGGTAACCACCAGTTTTAGAGAAACAATGGGTCATCCCTCTTGACCTTGGGCCTTCATATCTTTTTTTTTTTTTTTTAACATCTTAACATGAAAATTTTCAACGATACAAAAGAGTTGGAGGAATTTTAAAATAAAAGTCACATAACCACCCCCTAGGTTCTAGAATTAACATTTTACTATAATTTTTATCACATTTTCTAACCATCCCTCTATCTACTTATCAATGCATCTTACTTTTTTCCACTTGACTTTTTACAATGTATGTAAAAATAGTTGCAGATATATCAGTACGTTTCCTCAAATTCTTCAGCATGTATATCATTACTTGGAGTTTAGTATTTTCCAGTTCTTTTGTTTTATTTTGAGGTAAAGTTTACGTATAATGAAATTAACAAAATTGAAGCACATAGTTCAGTGGATTCAGAAGAATGTCATACATTTGTGGAACCCAAACCTCTATCAAGACACAGAACATGTGGCCCAGCTGCAGTGGTGTGGGCAGTGAGGCAGGCAGTGGGGCACTGTTCTCTGATGCTGGAGCCACATGGAAGACTATGGCTAAGATCCTAGGTTGACCTGAAATATACTAGGCATGTGTGATCACTCATGATTGTGGCTGGCTGGAAGACTAGGAGGTGAGAGAGGACTGTAGCAAGATGAGACTCTGTCAGGAATGCATGTTTCTATGTGTCTCATTCTCAAGAAGTAAAATGAATACAATTTTTTAAAAAGAAAAGAGAGAGAGGCTAGCCCCATAGCCTTCCTTCAGATTAAGGAAGCTGAATCTCACATGGCTGAATGAGGTTTGAATCCCAGTTATGTTGGATTGTAAAACAAGTCTGGTATGTGTGCAAGTGTGCCCCAAATCCCAACAGGATGGAAAAATGAAAGGATTTATGTGTGCGTGTGTGCACGTGCACGCACACACATACACACACACACACTCACAAACACAATGGCTCTCATTCCCAGAAAGGTCCCTCATACATTTTCCAGTAATCTTTCACCCCTGCTTAACTTCACAGAGGCAAACACCTGATTTCTTCTTCAAATTATTTTTGTCTTTACTAGAACTTCATATAAATGGACTCATATAATAAATACTCTTTCTGTAAGGTTTTTTGTCACTCAAAACAATGTGTTTTACACCCATCTACTACTTTTTTAATTATTAAAATTTAATTTACCTACCATGAAAATGACTATCAAGATGAGACAAATACCCACTATGATAAGGAAGGGAATTAGGTAGTATTCCAGAGGAAGACTAAACTCCGGAACCAAAATAATGTGGCCCCTAGAAGAAAACAAAAATGAATCATTAAAAAAAAGTAAGAGCTGTCATATTATGATGTTAATTAAAAACAAGGAAAAATACTTTTTAAAAAGACATGTATATCATTACAGTTTTAATTTGCATTTCCCTCATGACAAGAGACTTTGAACATTTTTTCATATATCTTGTGCCCATTCAATTGTTTTCCTTAGAGAGTTGTCTATTCAGTTTATTTGGCCATTTTTTAATTGGATTTTCTTTTAATGAGTGAGAGGCTTGAGTTCCCTTAGGGGTTATCAAGCCCTTATCTGAGAAATAATTTGCAAATATTTTCTCCCATTCTGAGGGTTGTCTTTTCACTCTAATTGCTGTTTCCTTTGATGTAAAGCAGCTTTTTAACATGATGTCATCCCACCTGTCTATTTTTTGGATTATTGCCTGTGTGTTTGGGGTCTTATTTAAGAAATGTTCGCCTGCTCCAATGTGTTCAAGAGTTTCCCTTAAGTTTTCTACCAGTGGTTTCATAGTTTGAGGCTTTACATTTAAATCTTTGATCAATTTTGAGTTGATTCTTGTCTATGGTGAGATAAAGATCCAGTTCCATTTTTTCTGCAGGTCTAGTTTCATTGTTCTAACCCCAGTTAAAATGATCAGGATCAAAAAATAAAGAACAACAAGTGCTGGCAAAGCTGTGGTGAAAAGGGAACCCTCTTAATGCTGTCGTTTGGAATGTTAGTTAGTATAACCTCTGTGGGAAACAATATGGAGGGTTCCTAAAAACTTACAAATACAACTACCATAATAACCCAGTAATTCCACTCCTTGATATTTACCCAAAGAATAGGAAGACACTCAGTATGAAAGACACTTACACATCCATGTCTACTACAGCATTATTCACAATAGTTAAGACATGGAATCAATCCAAGTGTCAAAAACTGATGACTGGGTTGAAAAAACTGTGGCACATATATACAATGGAATATTAGTCATAACAAACAATGGGACCCTATCATTTGATTCAAAGTAGAAGAATATAGAAGACTTAATGTTGAGAAAAGTAAACCAGACTTTGAAAGATACACACTGTATATCAACTCGATATGTACCTAATGTCTGTACTCAATGACAAGTTAAAAAATCCTAAGATAATAGAGAAGATAAGTGTACATATCAGAGACTGTAAATGGGGAAGCGAGTGGTAAAGAGTGGGTAGTAGAAGGTAGGAGGGACAAAGGGAAGAAATATTTAATAGACGAAAGAATGTAAAGTTCTCTATTGAAAAAAAAATAGTAAAAAAAAGACATTATCAATCTATTACACATATTTCATTTTAAAATGTAATGTCCAGTAGCTAAAGGATACTTTTTATATCTTTAAGTCTATTTTACATATTTTTCCAAATAATTTCCCTAATTAAAAGAAACTCTTAGACTACATAAAGAAAACCAACCAACCAATACTTACTATAGTCAATCCTACAGAGAGATTATCTAGTAACCTGAACAAAAGTTATATTTTATATACAAAATCAACATTAAAAAACAATGGCAGTACCTTCCTTGTGTAGCATATCACCAAAGACTCCCACCTCAATCAATTACTGTTCATCAATTCCTCCTATGACCACTCTTGTATACTCCTTTCTCTCTACCTGCTTTACATTTTCCTGTTGTACCAGATACAATGGGCATGGCCCTTGTACCCTATATTCACTTGTGAAATACAGCATGAAAAACCAGTCAAGAAAGTCTCAAGAGTTGTAGCTTTCTCTTTAATACCCATCTTCTCTATTTCCCAATGTGAAAAAAAAAACTATAGCAACATGTATGTTGTGGGGGCATGGGGCAGAGAATGCCCCATGCCTTATTCTTCCTTGTTATTAACCATTATATTAGTTCCTTTGCTATTCCTCCTAAAAAAGTTGACAGAAACCCAAAAACTAAAATGGTGATCAGAATAAGCACACTATTTGCATTCCATGAGTAAATTTGACATGGCATCAAAATCCTGCATTTAAAAACTCTTCAGTCTGGGGAGGTGGGGTTCACATAATGTTCAGTAATGACTGATCTCGTCACTGGATCCACTATGTTACTAGACTATAGTATGATGCCAGCAGTACTACTCTATGACCCATTACTGAGTGATTTTTTTATGTAGTAAAGCCAAGTACATCACAATATAAGGATTCAATGGAAAAGAGTAATTCTCAGAATCAAGGGAAATAAAAACAGGTTGACTGCTTCCTCCATATAGAGATGTGCAAGATACCATAGTGCTTAAGAAAAATAACACGAAAACAAATGATTTCCATTCCAAAGTTACTTGCAAATCTTCATGCTACTCTTTATTATCCACATCCAAGGAGCTTTATCAAGCTTCACCAAAAGCAAAAGTAATCAAAAAAGTAATACCAGGAATTTCTCCCCAATAATTTATATACTTAAAAAAAAACAACTGCTTAGACTGGGTTTTTATTTCAAGAACATTCTAGCAGAAAGACATAGTTTCTCCACTCCTATTCAATATATTACTGAAAGTCTTGGCCTATACAACCAGACAAGAGAATAAAATAAAAGGCATCTAAATTGGAAAGAAAGAAGTTATGGTCTCCCTATTTGCAAATGATATAATTATATACACAGAAAAATCTGAAGAGTCCGCTCAAAGACACTTAGAGGCAATAAACAAATTCAGTAAAGTTGCAGGGTACAAAATCAATATTTAAAAAACCTGTAGCACTGTTATTTATATACAATGAGTGAACTGAACCAAAAATGAAAAAATCAATTCCATTTTAAATAGTCAGAAGAAATAAAACACCTAGAAAATCTAACCAAAGAATTAAAAGATCTCTAATATAAAAATTACAAAAAAAACTGAGTAGAGAAATTTAAAAAGACATACACAAAATGGAAAGATATCCCTGGTTCATGGAATGAAGAATCAACACAATTAAAATGTCAGTATTAGCCACAGTACCCACAAATTCAAGGCAATTCCTCTTAGAATTCCAGCAATAGTCTTAAGAGAAATAGAAAAAGGAACCACAAAATTTGTTTGGAAACACAAAAGACACTGCATCACCAAAGCAATAGTACACAAAAAAAGTAAAACTGGAAGCATCTCACTATCTGACTTCAAATATGTCACAAAGCCTTAATAACCAAACAACATGGTACGAGCACAAAAACAGGCACAGACCAATGAAAAACAGGCACAGACTGATGAAACAGAATAGAAAATACAGGAAGAAACCCAACAACATCCAGCCAACTAATTTTTTTTTTTTTTTGGAGAGATTTTCACTGTAGGGCGTGTGCGCTCGCCAGACAGAGAGAGACATAGAGACAGAAAGCGAGAAATCACCCCCCAGGGGGGATGGTCACGCCACAATCCCTTCTCCTCCATTCTCCTCTCGGGATCTTGGGCACGCACGCACACGTGCCCGGCGTGAGTTTTAAGCCACCGGGTCCGGGACACGAACCGCGGTCGACTACGTGGGAGTCCAG